ATATATATATATATATATATATATATATATATATATATATATATATGTATAAAATATTAGTTGTCAATATATATATATATATATATATATATATATATATATATATATATATATATATATAACCATGGAATAACCATATAGTGGTCAAAAATATATATATATATATATATATATATATATATATATATATATATATATATATATATATAAAAGAAATATGTTGTAGTGGTTCCAACGAGAGAAAAGTATGTATATTAAAAAGAAGAGGGTGCCGCAAACGTTTTTGGTTGTAATGTGGATTTATTGAGAAAAAATATTATACTTTGTTTTACATAATTTCACGACACGTGTTTCTGGTCTGGTCTCGCAACATATTTTTGTATAAAATATTAGTTGTCAATATATATATATATATATATATATATATATATATATATATATATATAAATTTCAAAGAGGATAGAATCCAGGTAGAACTCAATGTCCAGGACAAAGCAAGAATATAATATAAAAGGATCAAACACTAATATTACATGGTTATAATTTATTACATTCGAATCGCAATCACATATTAGTGGCGTTTCCGCCTTACTTGGGGTAAAATAATTAAAAGAAATTTATACAATTATGTAAAGAGATCATCATGTAATGATAAATAGAATAGAAAACTATTTTGCCTACTATCAGCATGGCTGATGCTAACCACCAGTAAGAAACTGCACAGTAATTGCACCTTCTTAGTTCCCATTGGCAGGACTTGGGGTGATTATATTGAATCTGTTGCTAGATCTACTGCTAGGAAAGTTGTTTCACTGTATCGTGCCAGACAATTTTTCTCGTCAGTATCCGTCCTGTACATTTATAAATTTACTATTCCTCTGCGCATTGACTTCCGCTGTCATATGTGACCTGACACTCCTGCTATATATTCTCGAGATTCTCAACAAAATGGCATCTCGAATTCTGTCACTTTCCCAACGCCGTCACGTAACTTGCTTCTTTTTTTTTTTTCTATAAATATTTTTTTCAGAGGTCCTAATGAGCTCTCCCCCTTGTCAGCTTGACTGAGTGAATTTAAACGAACAACTTTTCTTTTCTTTTTTTTTTTAAGCATTTTACCCCAAGCAAGGCGGGAGTGCTATTAGCACACAAGAGGTTACAGAGAGTTCCCAACTAGAGTAAGGAAGCGTGTTTGAAGAAAAGATATAGAGAAGATGTCGATTGACATTACACTTGATTATTTAAAGATTATAACTATCAGGGAAGCAAGTAAGAGGAAGGGAGTTTCCATAGACGGGGAGTGCGACAGAAGAAGCTGTTTGAGAAGTAAAGACGGTTACATTTAACTGCTTTGACAGTGAAAGTGTGGGACCGAGATGCCAATCTAATAGCTCGCTCAAATTCATGCAGTCTGGGAACCAGCAAAAGTAGCTCGTCGGAACAATTGCCGTGAAAAAGAGACAGAGGGAAGCCACGGCACGTCTGTGAGAATGTGACTGTAGACGAGATGCCAGATCAGGACCTATCTCATTGCATATACGTCTCCGGATTTTGCCGAGGACCTCCCGACGTACAGCGGGGGGACTAGATCATATATGACAGCAATATTCCTTGCAAAGACGGATGGTTGATACATAGAGTTGAATGATAGACGAGAAACATTTTCTGGCATAACACAGTTGACTGACAACTCAGTGTCATCGATTTAGTCTTGACTTAGCTTATTTTCTATTCTAATATTTTATTTTCTCGTACTTCTCACCTGCGGAACTCTTTCGCTTTCTTGCTTCCATGTCGCTTGCAGTCTTCCAAAATGCAACTTTTAATGCAACGTCAATCTGTCTTCCTGAAACCTGTTCTTTTATTTCCCTTTTCTCCTCACTCAAGTTTTTGCAATCTCTTTTATTTCCTTGCGTCTTAGGGGCATTGTCGCCTTGCTCTGGGTGAAATAATAAAAAAGAACATTTAAACGATTTGTTCACAACTAACATGGCAGAAGATCTGTATCTCTGTGCGTTTTCATAGGCCGATACCTCCTCACGGTTGACCCGCTCTTGCCAGGAGATTGCGTGAAGTTATCGAGTCACCATCCCTAGAAGAGTTCTCAACTGATACTATAGAATACAGGCTGTCCCATTTAACACATAGCTGGAGAAGATGTAACATACAATATTATTATTTCATTCACATTTGATATTTAATAAAGATATTAATCAATTCGCTGTGGAATATAAGGACGCAACTTCCCTACGATAGTCCCACAGCTTAATCTCACTGCTGTGGCTTCTGTACGTTTTTTACGGAGTACAGTTGCTAGTATCGGACTCAAAAAGATTTGAATTCAGATTTGGGGTTCTCCTAGACTAGTTGCCAACCAAAGCCAGAGGGGCCACTCAATGAAGCTATTTAAAGCATAGATAATGGGATGTGATAGAATAGAGGTATTCGTACTGTTCCCAAGTGTATTTGTGCAATAGCGAACACAACTGGAATTTGACCACGGCACGCAGATTCCACTTCATGCACCGAGATATTCCAGACACTCGTAGACTAAGGAAAAGCGGTCAACTAGTAGTAGAAACGCTTGCTGTATTGAACCGTTTTGTTGCCTGTTAATATGTATCAGTTGATATTAATGTGACCATTCACTGAGTGGAACAATACTCGATGATATTTCTGAGAACGCCGAGATAAGGTCGAATTTCAGATAAGGCCTTCCACCAGTGTTTTATCATTTATTATCAGTAGTGGAACGTGTCTGATCGTGTCTTCATCGTTTGAATTGCCTACTTTACATGCCTGCTGTAGCAGGTTTTTAAAATAGACGAAAAAGAACGACTTCTAATTGAAAGGATCTGGTGAGTTGAGAACATAAAAAAAACAAATAAAGAAAATGCTGGTCTGTTTATTTTTTTATTTAAAGCAAAGAAAAGGTTCTTTTAAAGCTAAAACTCCAGTGATTCATTTATGTAAAGTCTTTTTATGGAGAAAAGGTAACATGACAAAACAATATTCTGAGATATTTTTATATATATATATATATATATATATATATATATATATATATATATATATATAGATAGATAGATAGATAGATAGATAGATAGAGAGAGAGGAAGAGAGAGTAAGTGCGTCCATAAACTTCGTGAGCACTATAAAAAAATTATAAATTTATTTGTATTTGCGATAGAAATAATTTGTAAAAAGGATTAGAAATTAGTAAATTAGTAAATCTATATTTTTTTAAGGTTTTATTGAAATTTTATTTAAGTTTCCCCATGTCCTCGATCATTAGCAATACAAAGGGTAATACGATTTTGCAGTTCACGGAAAACATTTGTCAACTGATTTACAGTAATCCCTGAAATCACATTAGTTATTTTAGTTTGCAAATCTTCCAATGAACTAGGTTTGGTTGCATACACAATTGTTTTCATATGTCCCCATAAAAAAAATCTAATGGAGTCAAATCTGGCGAACGTGAAGGCCAATAAAATGGCCCACACCTTCCGATCCATCTGTTAGGAAATTCCTGATTTAGAAACTCTCTAACACGCAGAGAAAAGTGACAAGGAGCTCCATCTTGTTGAAATACTGTATTATAACATTTTTTACAGATTATTTCTGTTGCAAATACAAATAAAGTTCTAATTTTTTTAAGTGCACACGAACTTTATGTATATATATATATATATATATATATATATATATATATATAATAACCCGCTCTTAATCTTTGTCTCTTTCTCCATTCCTTTCTCCCTTCTCTCTCTTCTTTCCTCACTCACCCCCTCTTACTCCCTTTCACTCTCATTCCCCCTCTCTCTTTGACCGGGTCAGAATTCTTCCATTTTTTTTTCAGATTGCGTCTCTTTTGTTAATAATTTAACCTTTATTTTTCTTTCATTCTATTTTTCAATTTTCTGGAAGACGATTCAGTTTTCTGTCCTCTTTCGATTTTGTGGAATATCGCACGGTTTATGTCGACTTTTTATATTTTCTTGAAAGTTCCTGAAAGGTATTCTACTCTCCTCCTTACGTTTTCATTGAAGATTCATCATTTTGTTTTATTTTTTTAAGAAACTTCAGTAGTTTATCGTCTTTCGTCTTACATTTCGTAAAGGAAAATACATTTTTTTTATTTCAAGGCGATAAAGCCACTACGACGCAAAGGCTCCCTGCGAAAACAAAAACTGAAAGAAAAACATTATCAGGAAGAAAGGACATTAAAAGAACAGACTTCACCGGGATAAAAGATGAGGATTGACGTTGCATTTCGATTTGTAACGACCCCAGTTGACAGAGAAAGAAAGAACGCAGAAAAGAGTTGCAAAAAATAAAAATGCGAAAAAAGAAACCTTTAGCATAGTATTTACGGTTACATCTAGAAATTTCAAAATAAAATGATGAGACCTAACAGCCAATCTAGTATTACAGTAAATTTTCGGGAGTTAAATTAGAAAGCTTATCAGAACAATTATCATGAAAGTATTTATAGAAAAGTTAAGGCATCTACGGCGGTGGGAAAAGGATTGAAACTTATATGACATGTCATATTTAGGTAAATTCACAAAGCACCAGAGCATATGTGGCAGCGAACGAATGGTATAAATTCTCGTAAGAAAAATTGTCTTACACGGTAAAGTGAACCAGCTTTCCTATCAGCAGAAATTGCCATTGATTCGATATAATTATTCCAATTGATATCAGTAGTAAACGTTAGACTGAGAAGGCGCAATTATTTACTCGCCTAGTGGTTAGCATCAGTCATGCTGTTGGGTGACAAAAAAAAATGAATTTCTTTCCATAATTCTTACGTTTTTTTTCTGAGATCTTTTCAAGGTCTTCATTTTTTTTTTTTTTATTTTTCTTTTCGTCTTTCGAGAAACTCGAATGTTGTTCCTTCCACACTCAAGAAGACTTACCTGATTTCTCAAAGAAAACATTTTTTTCCCAATTTGTCTATACAAGACCCAATATCAACTCAAGTTAGTCACTAAATGAGTTTGTTGAGTGTGTGCAACGGGAGGAGGTTACAACACTCTCTCTACACTTTTGCTCTCTCTCTCTACCCTTTTGTTTTTCCTCTCTATCCTTTTGTTCTCTCTCTCTGTATCTCTCTCTCTCTCTCTCTCTCTCTCTCTCTGTTATATGTACCTATGAACACTAATGTGTATGTCCCAATCCTTATAAATATATTGGACACTTTTATAGCGGGGGTAATATGTTCTCTTAGTAGTGCACCACTAGTAGTGGTTTACCTACTTCACGCCGCTGGCGAGTATTATATTTTGTTGATGTTATAAAGATTATCATTTCATTTCCAACCTCCGTTTTGGTTATTCCTCATTCAGTAGCCCTTTCTAGATTATAACACTCTCTCTATACTTTTGTTCTGTCTCTCTCTCCCTCTCTATCCTTTTGTTCTCTCTCTCTCTATCCTTTTGTTCTCTCTCTCTCTCTCTCTCTCTCTGTGTGTGTGTGTGTGTTATATACAGTACCTATGAACACTAATGGGTATGTCCGAATCCTTATAAACACGTTGGACACTAGTGTAAGTGGGGTAATATGTTGTCTACGTAGTCCACCACAAGCAGTGGTTTACCTACTTCACGTTGCTGGCGAGTATTGTATTTTGTTGATGTTATAAAGATTACCATTTCATTTCCAACCTCCGTTTTGGTTATCCCTCATTCAGTAACCCTTTCTAGATTTGGGAAAGATTGTACGAAACAGAGGAAAGAAAGATGAGAAAGCCGTTAAGAGTCTTCGAGGGAATAAAAGTGGAATTAATTTGGGAAACCGAGAGGAATCTTGGAGAATTTAATATTTCATATATAAATAAAACAAAATATAGGATTGATAAGAGTTGACACTAGATTTGTAATAGTCGTAGAAGCAGCCTCTTGAGTGTTAATTCTACAAAGTGTCAGTTCTGGAGAGAAAAACAAAGAAAATCTGGACAAATTCACACCAAGTACGTGTTATGGTATGTCCTAGCTGTGTAGGTTTAAACTGACAGATCTAAGGAATTTACCTCGTATGAACGTTTGCCATGGAAATAGCGATAGTGTAACGAGAGACTCGCAAAGTATCGTCTGCGGAAATTGAGTAGAAATTTGAAAGACTAAATGAAGGTTTTGAACACTGTTAATCCGAGAAAGTGGGGTCTGCACAACACCACCTCTAATATGGCAAAAATTCTTTATTTAAAAAAAAAAAAACTTTCTTCATGGACCTTCTTCCTCGCTGTCTTCGTTTTTTGGGTCGAGTTCGCGCTAAACAAGGCTGTAATGCCACTAAGATACAAGCAGTTACTGGGTGTGGAAGAATTCGAAACAGAAACATAACTAATTAGGGAGAAAAAAAGAAGAGTAATCAGAAGGACAGGAGATAGCGATTGATATTGCATTAAATTTTTACAGATTAAAGTTAGCCCGAAAGCATGGAGCCGGAAGGGAGTTCCATTAGCTAGAAGTGTAAGAAAATAAGCTGTGAGCATATAACTAACGGTTACATCTAGCCAACTCGACTGTAAATTGATAAAACTTCGACGCCAGTCTAGTATGAAAGTATTTATAGAAAATACACACTAAGGCAACATTACGGCAATGGGAAAGTGACTGAAGCCGCGATGCCAGAACAGAACCAGTAATATTGCTGATTCATCTTTAGATTTTATGAATCAGTCTAGATGAATATCAGGAACACTGGACCATATGTGGCAGTAATATTCTACGGAGGGGCTAATGGTAGATTTTTAGATATGTAAAGTAGATGCTGGAGATAGAAATTGGGTAGCACAACGCAGTGAACCAATTTTCTTAGCAGCCATCTTTTTTTTACATTCATCTCGCGTTAAAATGTTTTGAAACGGTTCCGTTCCTTCAATATGTTTACTCTTCTTTTACCCGACGGATCTTTTTGCTTTCCAATTTCCACTTTTCCATACACACTTAGAATATTCTGAAAGGCTTACCGACAATTCCTTAACTTCTTTTTTTTTTATTTTGTCCAGCATTTCCCTCTCGTTTACGCTTTACATTTTCCAACAGTCTTCCTCAATTAATTTCTCCAAGATTCCTTTCGGTTTCCCAAATTAATTCCACTTTTATTCCCTCGAAGACTCTTAACGGCTTTCTCATCTTTCTTTCCTCTGATTCCGACAATCTTTTGCTATTTTTTTTTCTCTGTCAAATACTTGAAGAATCTCTTCTGTTCATTCTATCGGCGGGATTTCGCTCAATTTTAATCAAGACATTTTTTATCTGTATTTACACATGCGCATTCGCTTGTTTTTATCCCAGAATTTTCCAACAAGTATCGCCTTTTCATATATTATTTCCTATTCACAGGAACCTTTCACCACTCATACAATTTATTCTTTTTTCTTCATCTCGTTAAAGGCTTCAGTTATTTTATATGATATTTTATCATCCGACATGTTGCTAACAGGATTTTCAATCGGAATTTTTTGGTTTTATTGAATCATTTTTTTGCTGTTGGAAAACAATTTTCCTTTGGATTTCTTTCAAAACCTCCCACGTTTACTTTACAAGATATAACACATCTATCTATCTATCTATCTATCTATCTATCTATCTATCTTAGTCTGTTCATTTCTATCTATCTATCTATCGTATTACTTTCTGTTTATTTCTATCTATAGTAATTCTTTCTCCTTTTTCTATCTATCTATCTATCTATCGTATTACATTCTGTTTATTTCTATCTATAGTAGTTCTTTCTCCTTTTTCTATCTATCTATCTATCTATCTATCTATCTATCTATCTATCTATCTATCTTAGTCTGTTCATTTCTATCTATCTATCGTATTACTTTCTGTTTATTTCTATCTATAGTAATTCTTTCTCCTTTTTCTATCTATCTATCTATCTATCTATCTATCTATCGTATTACATTCTGTTTATTTCTATCTATAGTAGTTCTTTCTCCTTTTTCTATCTATCTATCTATCTATCTATCTATCTATCTTAGTCTGTTCATTTCTATCTATCGTATTACTTTCTGTTTATTTCTATCTATAGTAATTCTTTCTCCTTTTTCTATCTATCTATCTATCTATCTATCTATCTATCGTATTACATTCTGTTTATTTCTATCTATAGTAGTTCTTTCTCCTTTTTCTATCTATCTATCTATCTATCTTAGTTTGTTCATTTCTTTCTATCTATCTATCTATCTATCCATGTATTATAGTTATTTCTTCTATTTCTTACTATCTGTAGATTATAGATCTATCATACTTTTCGATCTATCTATCTATCTATAGCAGTTCATATCTATCTATATATACATTAGTGCTTTATTTTATTTTCTATCACTTTATTCATGTTATCTATCTATGGATATATATAATTCTAGAAATATCAATATATTTATGTATCCCGTAATGTTTATGTATGTAATAATATGAAAATATATATATATATATATATATATATATATATATATATATATATATATATATATATATATATATATTGTCATCCATAGACTGTTTGCCGTATCACAGCTCATCAGTGTGACTAGACGTCCGGTTGCGTCTAGCTAGGATGGAAACCCGACTAAATTGGCGTCAGTCGGGGATTCTACAACTAAGCCATTGGCACACGGCAGGGATGAAGGTGAATTTAAGTGTATTTATTTTTTAGATAAACACACAGTGACTGAGAGAACTCGATTCGATTTACCGAAGAGTCTTGCATTATTAGCCGTAATAGTCACTGTTTACAAACACCCACTTCCTCCCCAGAGAGCTCAACGGAAATAAATTTTTCAGGATCATATATATTGTTATCCACAGGGAGACTGTTTCGTTGTATCACAGCTCATCAGTGTGGCTAGACGTCTCTCCCCTTTCTGTATATATTTCTTTTCACCTTTTGGAAGTGATGATCCAGGGTACTTTAAACGGTCTCTAGTGAAATAAACTATTGCAATGGAACCTTAAAGTGGTCTGTTTTTTCTTTAATATATATATATATATATATATATATATATGTGTGTGTGTGTGTGTGTGTGTGTGTGTGTCTGTATGTGTGTGTGTATATTTATATATATATATATATATATATATATATATATATATATATATATATATATATATATATATTCAACGAGAGACATAGAGAATCAAATAATAGACGAATATGTGTACACAGTTATTTATACAGATTGCTGTCTTTTTCTTCATTCTCTCCCTATTTATAAATGTATTTTATATAATTGTCTCATCATGCCGTCTTTATCAATATATATATATATATATATATATATATATATATAGTGGGGAGAAACAATTATTCGTACACATACAAATTTTTAATTTTTTTTTCCCCAAGTAATGAATAATCATATTTTTCATATAATTAACTGTACACAAATACATAATAACGAAATATGCATAGAAACAGAAAAAAAAGGAATGTCATAGAAATAAATCCTATTTATCTATTTTAATGATGAAAAAGTATTGGCACAATACAAAAATCAATACATAATCTTCATTTAATACTTTGTAAAGTAGCCATTATTCACTTCTACAGCAACCGACATCTTCTTTTATTTCTATATTAATGATCTACAAATTTTAGTTGGTATTTTTCTTCCATTCTTCCTCGCATACGGTCTTCAGATCTTGGATGTTTGTTGGAACTCTCTATTGGATTTGAATTTTCAAATAAAGACACAGTTGCTCGATCGGTTTTAAATCTGGCCACTGACTTCGCCATTTCAGGATATTTACATTATTTTTAGCAAGACATTCCTTTGTAGATTTTGCAATGTGTTTAGGATCATTATCTTGTTGGAAGATCCAATCAGGAAGAAAGATTTTCAACCGAAATCATTAAATTTGCTTCCAAAATATTTTGATATGCTGCGGCGTTCATTCGGCTATCTGTTACTGATATGTTGTTATTACCTTTTACAGATAAACTTCCCCAAACAATAATGCTGCAACCATCAAAGTTATCGAAGCCTATTACGAAAATAATAATGGACGTTCACACAGCAACGTATTTCGCGCACTTCACGATTTTTTTAGCCAACCTCATCGACCAACCGAGAGTGCAATTGGAATCGATGTAACATTGTTGTGGAGAGGTTCAATTCCTGCATGCAATGATGAATCGAGGGGTCTCGATTTTCGGCTACATTCTCATGCACTGCAGCAATGTTTTCAGCTGAATGGCGTAAACGAGCACGCAATGGTGTTTTCACATCTGCCACCGACCCAGTTTGTTTGGATTTACGAACAATATTTCCAATTGCACTCTTGAAACTTTAACACGTTCTTTGATTGTTAATTTTTCCATGATTGAAATTGCCAAAGACTTAAGTTGTTAAATCTGAAAGAAAAAGAAAAAAAAATCATTAGAAGCTTATACTTAATGCACATTAATTAATCAGTCCAAATTATTGGAACACCCTTTTTATATATATATATATATATACATATATATATATATATATATATATATATATATATATATATATATATATATATATATATATATATATATATACGTATATATATATATATATATATTAGATAGACAGTCAGAGAGAGAGAGAGGGGGGAGAGAGAGATTTGTATGCATATACATTAATCTAATTTCTATTGAACAAAGCATCTATGAATGTAGGCTCACCTTCTCCTTACAAACGTCTGCCCCTTGACAATTGGATATTTATATAAAAAAAACATGCAGCATTTCACGAATCATCCGCTGAGCTTCCTTACAGATGTCAAATGAATATGTGACAACGTCGTTTATAGTCTTTGCTTCCGTCCATTGTAGTTGATGGGAAATTGAATGAAGATAAGAGATTTGAAATTGGAAGAAGGGATTTTTTTTTGTTTTGTTTTGCTTCTGATCTTTCCATACTGGGAAAAATTAAAAAAAAACAAAAAAACACTGGTAATATCACTGTACCTACCTTGTTAAACATGTCTTGTTGCAAGGATGGTTCTCCTTATTTAGTGGAGGACCTTCCGTAACCCCCCCCCCAAAAAACTTTGATTTGCCAGGTAATCTTGATTTATTTGGGAAGGATATTAAGAACAATGCAGAGGTTATTCTGTGAGCAAATCGCCTGCATACGGATAGAAAAGGAATTCAGTAAAAACACAAACATTGAACGAACCCTAAAGATCTGTCTTCTCTCCGGACGTGACTTTTTGAAAGTGTTGATCTGATGAGTCTATTTATGAACATAACCCGTTTTTTTCCTTGTAGCAAACGGATTACCGAAAAGAAACTTGATTCACGTTTAAACATTTTACTTTTCTGTTGTGGCTCGACACAGAACTGGTTGGTTCATTTTCTTTATCGGCCTATCAACAACTCTATGGGTTATTTAATGCCAAAATCTAAATATTTTGAACATAATTTTATGTTTTTTAAGTAAATTATTTTGAACGCAATTGTATGCCTTCAGCTGCAGATAAAATGTATTTTTGTTATATATATATATATATATATATATATATATATATATATATTGCAGGTATTTTTAACTATAAAAACGTATTTTTAAACTTTCATAGTTTTTTTCCCCCATAGCTGGGACCCTAACAGAATATTTTAGGATGTCGTTTGATTTAAGAAATTGTAGGTTATTATATGGTCTAATGTCATAAAAGAGTTTTTTTTTTCTTTTTTTCATATTGGTTGTTTGGTTAGTTGATTTCATTTGGCGGAATATCAACACCTCTATGGGTTATTTAAAATCTAAATATTTTGTATGTAATTTTACGCTTTTATGTATGTGACAGGGCTGTTCGTTCCAATGTACATGACATGGCGGATCGTTTCAGTGTACGTGACATGGCGGTTCGTTCCAATGTATGTGACATTGCGATTCGTTCCAATGTATGTGACATGGCGGATCGTTCCAGTGTATGTGACATGGCGGTTCGTTCCAATGTATATGACATTGCGATTCGTTCCAATGTATGTGACATGGCGGATCGTTCGAGTGTACGTGACATGGCGGTTCGTTCCAATGTATGTGACATTGCGATTCGTTCCAATGTATGTGACATGGCGGATCGTTCCAGTGTATGTGACATGACGGATCGTTCCAGTGTACGTGACATGGCGGTTCGTTCCAATGTATGTGACATTGCGATTCGTTCCAATATATGTGACATGGCGGATCGTTCCAGTGTATGTGACATGGCGGTTCGTTCCAATGTATATGACATTGCGATTCGTTCCAATGTATGTGACATGGCGGATCGTTCGAGTGTACATGACATGGCGGTTCGTTCCAATGTATGTGACATTGCGATTCGTTCCAATGTATGTGACATGGCGGATCGTTCCAGTGTATGTGACATGACGGTTCGTTCCAGTGTATGTGACATGACGGTTCGTTCCATTGTAGCTGGCATGGCGGTTCGTTGCAAATTAGCTGACATGGCGGATCGTTCTAGTGTACGTAACATGGGGATTCGTTCCAATGTACATGACATGGCGGTTTGTTTTAATGTATGTGACAGGGCTGTTCGTTCCAATGTATCTGGAATGGCGATTCGTTCCAATGTACGTGACATGGAGGATCTTTCTAGTGTACGTGACATGGCGATTCGTTCCAGCGTACGTGACATGGCGATTCGTTCCAGCGTACGTGACGTGGCGTTTCGCTCCAGTGTATCTGGAATGGAGATTTGTTCCAATGTACGTGACATGGCGGATCGTTCTAGTGTATGTGACATGGCGATTCGTTCCAGTGTACGTGACATGGCGGTTCGTAGCGATAAAATATATGGAATTTTGGAAACAAAGGAAATAGGCTCGTTTGAAAATAACGGTTCATGAGCGACGTTTCGGGAAAGGGGGAATGGGGTTGTAGGGTGGAAAATAATTATGTTAAAGAATGTTTTTTTTTTTTTTAATTTATGTAGTAAAGCATGCAGAGTCCAGTAGATTTCTTTCATTAAACTTGTAGCAAGAATAATACGCGTTTTTGATTGATTGATTTGTTTAACGGCATATGAATTCCTTCATGGGTCATTTAATGCCTAAATTTAACTTTCTTGTGCGCTTTAAAGTAATAAAAATATGAAGCACGTTATTCTGCTTTCACAATTGAATACATGGTAGATGATACTCTGCTTTTGTGTAGAGATATGTTTGTGTGAATATAATTACTAGAATCAGTGATATGCATGTGTTTTATGTTGTAGTTTTATTGAAGTTATATTTTAGAATACAGTATGAGTTCTTTAATCAATTGTAGTATATTATATGGATTAATGAC